GACAAACGCCATCGCTCTGAATGTCCCCCCCTTCCTTCTTACCCCAGTTTCTATACTGGGCATGATGCCATAGGGTAGGGAATGGCCCCATGGCCAGTCTGGGCCAGCCCCCCCGGCTGTGCCCCCTCCCAGCTCCTTGTGCACCGGGCAGAGCAGGGGAAGCTGAAAAGCCCTTGGCTAGCGTAAACACTGCTCGGCAACCACTCACACATCCCTGTGGTATCAACATTATTCTCATCCTAAACCCAAAACACAGCACTCTACCAGCTACTACGAAGAAAATGAACTCTATCCCAGATGAAACCAGGACAGAGCCACACCAAGCATCACCCCCGTTCACGACCAGCAGCGCCGCATTCGCAGAGACCCCGTGCCCTGTAGTTCCTGTCTGCCAACTCGTAGTCTCACCGCGCTTGCTATGGGAGTGTGGGTTTATTGGAGAAGGGCCTGATAGAGACGGGGGGAAAAGCCATCGTGGCCCACTACAGCTCGCAGGGGCGTGCAGCTCAAGTTGTGGTGTGCTGACAGCAAGCTGAAATGCCTTCAGTCCACTTTGACAAAAGGGCAGGTCTAGCGTTTAATGAACGTTTAGCTTCCAAACTCATTGCCAAGTTTTGATGTGCGTAGGTGAGTGTCTTTTAGGCGAGTGCTTTCCCAGTGCTGGGTCACTGAAGTGTGAAAACGTAAACCTTCAGCTTTACAGGCTCTGGGTGCTCCCTCCGGGACTGGGCGATGCTCTGCCAAGGGGCTCCGCGTGCTGGATGATGGTGTTTGCCCCAAATGCTTCAGTCTCTAAGTGCTTGAAGGAGTTCGGGAAGGAGAGGATGGAGACCAGCATTGGAAAAAGATTCTCAGAAGCTTCTGTGTTTCTTGGAGAAATTCATCATCTGTTCTTGCTATCTGTGCACCAATTAACAGGAGATTGTCATTTCTTTTTCTGCATCATTTACCCGTTACTTGGGAGGGGTTTCTCTCCGCAGTATCTTCATTTTTTTTTTTGTCTCTGGCACAGGTTCTCTAACATACAGATTTGCTCTTGTATTCCTGGTTCACCAGCTTGTGTATCCAGGCTTACTGTTGCCCTGTTTTGAATGTCCCCTTCTATGAGTATTTTATTGCAGCTCCTTTTGCCTTGAGATGGTGATGAGCAGTTGGGATCCATCTTTGCGTTGCACTGTCCTGATTAAAAGAGTTAACAGAGCAAGTAGGTGTTTTCTTGAAAACGGGAAGATTTAAGTGGGAGCCAGGTTCATCATTCCGTTCCCAGCTTCTTTCTAGCTAATGCACGAATCAAGAGCTTGCAGCTCTCTTGCGGCAGCAGGACACACTTGTCTCTGGCTCTGGGAACTATAAACTTCGGCAGTGTTTTTGCTGACTCTCACGTACGCATCTCTGACAATTTATATTCTGCTGCTTGTGCTTGCAACTAAAACTCTGGGAAAAATCTGTTCTGCTTTACGCGTGCCTTGAACTTGGCATGATGGCTGCTCTTATTTCGTGCAGCTCAGAGAAAGCTTATTGCAAGCAAATCGAATGCATAGGACCGTTTCTTTGAAGATCTGCTTAGATCAAGTGATATTTGCTTGAATCGATAGGATTACACAGATACTGCACTTCAGCAAGCGATGTGTTTCTTGAAAACGTAATGAAAAACTCTGTGGATTGTTTACAGACTGCCTCGTACCCCGTTTGCTGTCTGGCCCCCGCAGCGTGCTGCGATCTGCAAGTTTTCTGCTTTGGAGAGCAGTGCATTGCTCTCCCTCCGTCATCCAGCCCAGCCTGGCTTTGTGGCTGCATCTCCTTTCAGTGAATGTCTTCTCTCTTTCTTTTTTTCCATCCCATTTAGCACACTCAGGTCTCTTAAAATTCAGCTTGTAAGCAAAGTGAAGCATCACCTACGATTGTAAAATCTGTCTTTATCCTCCCTCCCTCCCCCAAAGAAAAAAAAAACAAAACACAAAAAAACCTCAAGTACAGCAAAACCGTGACTGAATTGCCAGCAGGTATGGTGTCTGCTGTTTGCGTTTGAAATATTGACAGCACGGCCACCTTCCTTCGTCGCCAGGAAAAGGCTGTAGCTGCTTTCTCAGAGAAACCAGCTCCGTCACTGTGCAGTGGCTCTGCCGACTTGTTACCGAAAATTCAGTTATCTCATGCTTGTAAAATGGCTTTGGGTGAGCTCCAAGAAGTGGGGAATTGTGTAAATGGAAAGAAACCAAAAATTAGCAATCGATAAAGGCTGCAGCCCAAATTGAGCCACTCTGACTTGCAAAATGTGCTTGTCTGAAGATTAAGTCACTGTTAGAGGTTGGACACCCAAAATTGCTAATGATGCTTTAACACATTCCTACTTTTATATAAATTCTGGGAGAGCAGAGGGAAAAAAGTCTTGGAGGGTGACGGGATAGGAGACAGAAAATGGTTTTTCTCTTGCTGTATCTGTACGCAAAGCTGAAGCTGACCACTGGATGGAGGGAACTCCTGCAGCCTCGCTGTGCTCCTGCAAAGCCGCGGCTCCGCAGCAGCCTGCCCGCCCTCCTCTTCGGTACCTGATGCTGACCTGTTCTCCACGGATTTGCCTAACCGTTTTTGAAACTACTTGGAAAATCTGTTTTGTCCTCTCTCACGTGTGGCAGGCAGTTCAGTTATTATTTCGTTGTGTGCAAAAGCATTTCAGCGGCCGTAGGCGTGACCCCGTGTCGCTCACACGTACCAGGAGCGCTCCCGAACCAGCGCGACGTGGCCCGCTGCGTAGGGGCTGTGGTACGAGCTGAATGCCTCCTTGGGCAAAGGCAGGGCTCATCTTTCCTCCTCTTATTCCCGTCGTATGCGTGGAGCCCCTACACGCCTGTGTCCTCATTGCAGAGCACGAGACGTAAATTCCACTGATTCAAAGCTGTTGCAGTAAACTGTCCACCTCGCTTAGCTACAAATTTACTTGGTTTATGTGTTTCAGGAACTTTTTTTTTTTTTTACTACTGCTCTGAACTTAATTTGCAGTATATTTTGCAAATGCGTTCTTCCTGTAGGTGGCTTATTGCTTCTGGATGCTGTGCAAATAGCAGCTATTCTGCTTGTGTCAAAAGCTGCAGAAAATGCTTATTGTTTCCTTAATGTGCCATTACCTGGGTAGCACATATGCACTGCATAAAGGAGAGCAGAAGGGAACTACTTGTCTGCAAAATTAGGAGTTGCACAGCTTTCATTCATCAAACGGCAGCTTTTTTTATTCCTGAAACAGCGAAGTCTTGGGAGGCAATCATCCCTCTGAATTTTAGGCGCTTCCCGCGTTGGCGTATCCATCACGGCTAGTGTGTCTGTCCGGATAATCAATGGGAAGCAGTGAGCTCCTCTGCAAGGCGTTCACATGGTCTGTGCTGGAGGCTCTTTCCGAAGGTGATAAATTGCACCCTGGCAGTGCAGCTCAGCTCAGCGAGCCCGGCCAGCTCGGGTGTAGACGTCTCCACTGTAGCCAGCTCCCAGAGCATGATTCATCCCCTCCAGCCGTCTGCAGTGCAGGCATCTCCAGCGCAGGCGATCGATCCTTCGCACTCTCCTTGTAGTCTTTGGAGATCAAGGGAGTTCGGGGCATGATTTATCGGGTCAAATACTTACACCAGTTCTAGGTGAGAAGACTCTCCCGTGAGCCCCACCAACACTTGAAGCGCGAGGTGGCCGCCTCCCGTGGATGTGCCTCCAAACAGCCCGAGGAACCCCCGTTAGGTGGTGTGCCCTGCCCAGCGCGGGAGGTCAGCCTGTGTTTGGCTAAAATCAGCACAAGGTCGTGAAGATGGATAAAAGCCATCGTGGGAGATGATTTTAGAATGATCCAGATTTTGTGATTCTTTGAGGTTTTGTCCTAGGGCAGCAAAGTTAGTGCTCTTTCTAATAAACGTCTTAACTTACTGGATCAGAGGCAAAATCCGTTCAGTCCATGACCTCTTCCGTGACAGTGGTCTGGGGTGGAGAACCAGGAAAAGAGTCCGAGGACAAAGTAAGCGTATTCCTTGATAGATCTTAATCCCTCACCTGGCTAATTATTCTTTGAGCGTATCTAGATCTTTGATACTCTGTTAACCTGCGGCAGTGATAGACACAAAAGAACATTGCGGTTCAGGCACCCTCAGCCTTGTACGGTCAGGCAGTGTTAATAATCCTCCCCTATTAACCAGGCTGAAGAGCCCAGTCTAATTAATCTTGCCTAAGATGGAAGCCACTCCGCCAATATGGAAATCAGACTTACTGCTGGGCGATCCTCGACGCTGCGGGAGCACTGCCCAGTTCCTCTCCAGTTCCTCCGCAGTCAATGCCAGTGCGGAGAGTTCAGTTCGTATATTTTCATGTCTATAATTCTTTTGCAATCTCCCCAGTTTAATGAAATCCCGTGGTGACCAGCTCTGTATTTTAACTGTGTGGTTTTCAGTATTAAGGGACTCTGTTTACTCCGGTGTGTGAAGGTCGTTTCTTTAATTCCCCAGCTTTGTTCAAGGTGGTTTGTTTTTATAAGATGCCTGCAGTTCAGCCAGCTTCTAGCATGATGGATTTCATATTGATGAAGACAGCAAATTGCAGGAATATGATCACGAATATAATGACAGGAAGGAGGGTGTGAGGAATGTGCCAGTGCGGGATTTCTCTTCTTGAGATCTTTATCTGAACGAGATGTGGTTTGGGTTGGTTTTTTTTCCCCCCTAATGATGCAATAAGGCATGGAATGGGGCAAATAATATACTAAATAATTGCACCTTTTTTTAACAGAATACGTCCGACACTAAAGAGTTTATTTAGAGACTCTGCGGAGAACGTAACGCGAGCATTTTTGTATCATATGCTCATAGGAAAGTTGTCCCAACACAGAAGATGACAGTAGTCTTGGTAGATGGAGCTAAAATTATTTTTGCCCATATGAAGGAGAATAATAGCTGAAGAGCTCACAGAGAGAGGAAGGCAGAGCATCTGTGTTTATTTTAACCTCTTCTGCCCTTTTTTTGTTTTTTCAGGTCATATCTGACTCCGGTGCGGGATGAGGAAGCAGAATCTCTGAGGAAGGCACGATCCAGGCAGGCCCGGCAGACCCGCAGGTCTACACAGGTAAAGAATGGAAGTACTCGTGTTTGTGTGTAGGATGAAGAAAGCTGATGTACAGAGAGTCAAGATTTCCTTTCGCTCTGTTTTACGACTTAGGACAAGGGGCTTGTCTACCCTCACACTGTGTTGGAGAGGTTCTGGCAAAAGTTCCTGCCAACGGTTATTACAAAATACACCCCCGATCGCACACGAGTGAGATTTCAAAGTTCTCCTTTCTGCAGTATACCTGCCTTTTAGTTGGTAGCTTGATCACGTATGTCTGGGTTGCTTTGAGTCAGCGATCAGGCTGGTACACTGAGAAATGTGTTGAAGGCAACAGAATTCTTTTCTTTCTGTTAGCATAAAGGTGACGCATTAGCCGGGGCAGGTGTAAGCCTGCTGGGCGTTTTAAACTGACCTGGAAGACTTGAAATCTAATCGCATAAATTTAAAAATTCTCTCTGACTTTCTCCCCAGGGTGTGACGCTGACAGACCTTCAGGAGGCAGAGCGAACCTTTAGCCGGTCTCGGGCAGAGCGGCAAGCTCAGGAACAGCAAAGCGAGAAAGCTGAGAGCGCTGAGCCTGCTGAGGACAGCAGCGAGAGGCAGGAGACCCGGTCACGGTGGAGCAGAAATACAGATGAGGAGGTGATCCTCCTGGCCTCGCTTCCCATTGATTCAGAGTTAATGAAACCATTTAGGATAGCTGAGATCAGGAGAAATTCTTTTGGGGATGCCTGTTTATCTTAAGGAGGGCAGGCTCGCTGGAAAGAAGTAATGCTGAGGAGTAGTACCTCAGCTCGGCGATCTGCACGAGGGATGTGGATGTACAGGTGCTGGAGGTTTGCTGTTCCTTTGTTCTCTGCTGGGAGTTTCACTTTTCTGTCTCTTGCCAGAAAATAAGATTGTGTAAATCACAGAAAGTGGAATGAGAAGGCTAATGATAGAAATGTGGCCTGGATCCATCCTTGCTGTGCAGACTGCACTGAGGCTTTGTGTGCACATTTTTCCACAGATGTTCTGTGTGTAATGGAAAGCTGGAGAGACCAATTTTCTCCCCCTGCCATCACTTCTGGTTTTTTACTCTAAATCATTCGTTTCTGTTAGATAACTTGTTTGTCCTGCTATTGGCAGTAGAGACAAAGAGATTGATCCCAGACTTCCCAGCGATGGGAAAGTGCTCTCACATTGTAGCTGTACGATGCTTTTAAGATTCATCCCAGTCTGATGGAAAGAACCTGGTCGGGCGGACGGAGGTGATCACTTCCAGCAGCAGTGAAGAAAACATTACACTCTAAAAGATTACCCAGTTCCCTGAAATCCCAAATCTGCTAGTTCCTCTTCATTCTACTAACTTTTTGTCGTGGTTCTTTGTTTATAGACTGTCTATCGGCGATTAAGGTGCCCGGTACAACCAGACAAACCAACGACACCTGTATCTCCTTCGACGTCAGCACCTCTCCTTTATACAAGTTCGTACCTGACTCGAACAAATAAGTATCTAGGTCTTGACTCTGTGAATCCAGCAGACTTCAGAGGTGCAGCCACAGAGATGGAGAAAAATGGTATGTACCCAGGAGAATGAAAAACAGTCAAAGCTCAGGGATTTTCATGAGTTGTAGAATTTCCAGTGTGTACAGGCTGAGAGAATAAGTTTACTTGTTATTCTGAGGGGCGCGGTATGGGGAGCTGCCACCTCACAAAACAAATGTTACTTGTTTAAATGGAAATCCTAAGGCAGGATACAGCCTGTTGCTTGTAACAGAGAGGGATAAAAGGATGTTTTCCATTTTGGATAGGTAAATGAGATAGTAATCCATGGAGCGTTTAGATCTTCGAGCTGGGGGGAGCGACTCCCCTAGTACGTTTTGTCCTCAGAATAGGGGTAAGTTGGGATGATTTGGGGAGAGCTGAGAGCCAGGGTGACGTCTCTGGGCTCTGATAAAGGAAGGAGTGTGAGTAACCAGTAGGGCACTGAGGTTCCATTTAATTTGGTTTAATAACTCCTTTGTAATATAACACAAGCCAAGATGACCTTGGTCAGCTTGAAAAGAGCCCCAGTACCTTAGCAAAAGCACAGATGTAAATCACTGAAACCAAAGCAGTCTTTCTTTGCTTGGCCAGAATGTGAAGATCAGGATTTAGACGACAGATCTCCGAACAAACAGTCAATCCGAGAGAGGCGGCGGCCAAAAGAGAGGCGAAGAGGCACCGGCATAATTTTCTCGACACAAGATGTAAGTTTGAGTTCCTTAGTCAAGAGAAACTCATTCTGTCATATTCAGGGAGAATTTCCTTCCCATTCCAAGCTTCAGATTTCTTTCCAAGTCAGTTGATTTCCCATTAGTCCTTCCCTCTCCAACTCTGTTCCAGACTGGCACTTGCAAAGGAATTGCATCCCTGTTTGGTCCCTGTAAAACCCGAGCAGAGGCTCTGGGAAGCCTGTTCTTGAGCCATAAATCAGTATGATCCTTGCGCAGTTGTGAAAGAGCCCACATGGGAGAAGAGAGATTAGAAGTCTAGTTTCTTTGGAAGAAGGAGGTCATGAGCCACTGAAGTATTTTCAAATTCCTCTGAGCCCAAATTTGGCTACGCTTTAAGCCCCCTAAAAGGAAGACAATAAGGAATAAAACCTGTGTCTGGATCCCCTGACCAGCAGCAGAGAACACACACAGCATAAATGCAGAAGAGCTGTCTGTGTCGTGGTCGTTTCACTCAGTCCTGGTTTCAAAAGGATTTCTTCAGTCTGAGGGAAGAAATCCAGCCCTCCAAACCTTGGTTAGAGACTCAGGTAGGAAAACAGATCACCTTTTTCAGCA